CCTGTGAAATGTCAGTGTGTCATCAAGTCTCTCAGAATCACTTAAAGTTATACTTGGACTAAAACCAGTCCTACATCAGGGTGGCACTTAGAGTTATTTATGAAGCTTCCTGTAGTCACAGCTGTACATTTAGCAGAGAGTGAGAGTGATGGCGCTTATTACTCTGATGTCTTTCTCTTTTTTTCTTTTTTTTTTGTTGTGGTTTGTATTAGACAACGGAAAGTGAGACGGGAGACTGTTGCAACACTCGTTGCATTTCTTTCAGTTACTCAGAGACTGTTTGGACCAGACCAACCAAACTTTTACATCTGTCTGCTAATACCATAATACCCATACCATTTAAAGAATGTTATATACGGTATGACATATCCTTCACAAAACTTATTTTAATGGAAGAAGTAAAGGGGGTTGCAAATGACCCCAACCCTGCAACAGAGACAGCTACAACATATTGAAAAACTAACCTCCAGTGTGTTATTTAAAAAAATTTTTTTATCCAATTTTCACAAACAGTATTTTCTTGGTAGAGGAAACTGAGGAGGCACTGGCGCACCCCTAGACGAATGAGTGGCTGATTTAAAAAAAAAAAGCAAAAGTCATGAGCCGATATTTATTTGAATGGAAAAACTCGGACGGTTGCGACACAGATCAGGGACGGTTGAACAAATTAAGAATACATGACTAATTAACTTTTGCTTTTTGTCTCAATAAGCATAGTATTCTGAAAATATTCATGACGTTATTAATTTATACAATAATTTTATAGTAGTATTTACTTATTTACTCGTAATTATGAACAGTTATTGAGTTTTGTTCTGCATAGAACATAGGTCCACTTACAAAATAGGCACAGTAGCGTAACCAAATACTTTCTCTTTCTCATGTATTCTCTTATAATTTAAAATGAGTAAGTGTTGCATCTGCTAAACATCTGCTAAACATCTGCTAAAGGAACTAAAGATGTTGAAAAATACTGTTGTGTTGTCTGCTTTTGCTTAACTTATTGCAACCGTGTTGAAATGAAAGAACATTATGTGCTAGCTAAACACCCTGACCTCGACACATGCCAGCCACATCTCCTGGAAGTCAACAAAACAACGATTCAAACTAAGTAAATTTCGACTACTTCATACAGAAGGTCAGGACAGTATGACAAGGAATAAGACTCGCTGCAACCATGTCCTGTTGCAACCGTCTCCAGTCTGCCCTATGCAGAAAATAGCATCACTTTCTTATGCGTAGGTTCAAGTTATCTTGGTTCAAACCCATATGTTCCCGACGCTGTGAGGTTGCAAGGACCTTGGTCTCTGTGGAGAGAGTGTATGCTCTCTCTTGCCTCCTGGCAGACTGTGTGTTTTTTTTTGTTTTTTTTTTGTCATGGTCATCCATCCACAACCCTCCTCCCACAGACTGTATGCACATTTGCAGAGTGAAGAGAACGTGTGGAAGTGTAAACTGAGCCCATCAGCTGGAGTATAGATTTTAATATGATGTGATGCACCAACACTGAAACCCTGTAGCATCACAGGGAAAGCTGAGTCTGAGTCACAAATGTCTGTTTAATTCATTCTTAACTATCTCAGCTTGCAGTGTATTCTGGGTATTCTTTTTTTTCAAGAGCTTTGAAAGACAGCTACAAGGATATTTTCCCAGGACATTTAGACATGAGATGAGACAGTAGCATGAATGTAAGAGGATATTTTCCTCTTTAAGAGCTTCTTAACTGAAGTCTCTTCTCATTGCTGGCTTCACAACATTGTTAGCGAAGCAGAAATCTTGAGACATGTTTGCACAAGTTTTTGCCAATTGTCAGCAGGTGTCATTGATTGTTACCATGGAAACACCTGCTAGGTCTGAGATGAGCCTGAGGGTAGGATTGCAAAGTTGAAAAAAACATATTTTCGAGGTAACCTAGGGGAAGATTTAACCACAATTAAATGTAGAGAGTTGCTTTGCTCTATATTTTCTGTGTTATCATCAAATCCCATGAGGAAAACCTGAACCGGTTCTCAGCTTGGAGGCCATCGGTTCCCACTGAAAACACATTTTCAAAAACACCTCGCAAATATATTGATTCACTTTTTAAAAGAGGCTCAGTAATGTGCTGAGGCACTGTCATGTTATGTTAAGACAGCGATGAAAAAACATAACTTTTATGTGGATACACAGCCTTAGACCACTTTGCCATTGGACGTCACTGTATATCACAAAGTGCAATTACTAACCTAAATATTAAACGTAACTACCGTCATTCCCTACCCTTGAACGATAATTTCACTTGCCTAAACTTATAAAGATGAACTTGAAATTTGGCCTTATTCTATGTTTTTCATATGGTCAGCAAATCTCATGAAAAGACCCCCTCTCAATACTTGATTTCTGACATCCATACACTGCCATGAAAATATATTATTATTATTATATATGAAATATGAATAAATATATTGTTTCATAAAAGAAATAATTTCAGTGTGAAGTCTTGGGTAATGGCTAAGAAGTGTTTTGTGAGGTCACCGTGACCTTTAACCTTTGAACTTTGACCACCAACATCTAACCAGCCAACATCCTTGAGACCAAGTGGACATTTGTGCCAGAATTTGAATATCCATCAAGTCATTACTGAAATATCACTTCCAAGAGAATGGGATGCACGTACGGACAAACCGAAAAACAATATTGCCGTCGCCGGCTCGGTAATTTCCTACAACAGAAACTTGCACACTTTATTTCATCAAATGTTACTTAAAAAGTTGGAAATTGTGCATTTGTCGGGGACTATTTTCAGTGGTGGATGCAAACCCATTTGGTTCTGCAGTGGGCAAACTACTACAAAACTACATGGTAACAAAGGAACATGTGCATGCGCACATTTGCAGAGCAGAATATCTGAAGTGATGTTTACATGCGTGTTTATTAACTGGCTTTGCTAACAGTTGTCTTCTTCTTCTTTTGCTAGCACATGGCTATGAGTTTTTGGCCCAATGGGGCGACCATAAAGTGGAACACCGCACATAGGGTTGTTTGTTGCAATCCAGTCTGTCATGTTCTGACCACATACCAACACATAATAAAGCGTCGTCTGGGTGATACTAAACTCAGTCAGCTATGGTGTGACGCCACCTGAATATGACGCTGTGTTAGCCACTTCCCTGTCTCTCAGCTGATGTGTTCCTACATGACAGATCCTCACAGCTGCAACTGGGAACAGCTTGAATCCTCCCTGTTCTGTTTCACTAATCCTTGTTTGAAAACTGTTTAGTTTTAAAATCGTGCTCGCAAAGATTGGCATGTACTTTGACTCTATTAGCAGAATCCAACTCATTTATTCATGTGGCTTTTTCATTTATATTTGATATCAGAAAGGAGTCAGTGCCGGTCAGCGTGAGATTTAATAATTGATTTGGCTTTGACTTTGAATGGCATACAGTGTTTTTTTGAGTGAGAGGGTAATTAATCAACATTTTTCGATTGGAGCAGTCAGGCATGAGATTTTCTTCAACCCAACCACTTAAAATATGAAAAATATATATTTAAAAAATATCTTAAGACCTGGGGGCAGCGGAGTGGGGGTGAGAAATTGAATTAATGGGTTGCTTGCCATCTGGTTTTGACACAAATGTCCATGAGACGCCTCCAAGCCCACAGAGCAGATTTCTAATTCAAACCGCTTTCCAAAACTCCCTCACAGAGAAGCCTGAGAATTATCTGCTATCAAATTATTTCAAGCAATCTTCACACCTCAGCAGGCTTCCATTACTTTTTGAATCATTTTTTTCAAAGTGGAAATAAAAATTCAGAGTTTGAATTGTTCGTCTTTACAGATTAATGTTGAAAATTAAGATAATTCACTTGCTTTTCTGTGGCCTCAGCTGCGGCCTTGTTTACAGCCACGCCTGCAGCTCTGTGGTGCTGTTCCTCGGCACAGTGGTACAACACAATGCTAATTTCTAGCATGGTTAGAATGATATGAATGGTTACCATGTTGGATTGGGATCCGCTTGATAAAAAATGACAGAAACTATAGATACAACATTAGGTAGTAAAACTGGCTTCCAGGTGCAATACCCTGCTGCTGCCACTAGAGGGCAGTTAATTTTTAATTTAATTTTAGCTTGCCCTGCCATTGTCATGGTCATCATTTTAGTTTGCTCTGTGTACAATGCTGAGATTCCTCCAACCTCAACAAGTATACAGGTCTTTTTTTCCCTCCTCTGATATGACCCATAGCAGCGTCTCCTGAAATAGCGCCCCTACGGCGGCAGGCATACCAGACCTTGGTTGTCACGGTTACAATAATAAACTCACTCAATTATTTGTTGTTACTCTGCTGTCGAAATTGAGTGGTGAGCTAAAAAGATAACTTTAGCAAGGTGACGGTAAAGCAAGCCTCAAAGTCTAACCTTTATCCATGATTTTTCTATTCATGGTGTCAAATCCAAAATGCTTCCACGTAGTGTCCTTCGTTTAGTGTCAATGCAGAGAACAAAAATAGCCGAGTTTATTGAGGGTAAAAAGGCTTCGGAAGATCATAGTTATAGTGCGTTTTTTTCCAAATGCCTCCTGCTGAGGTACAAGGCAAGACTTGCTGAGCTAATACACTCTGACTCAAGTTTAATCTTGTCATCTCAGATCTTGTGTGGTTTGATTAAAGTTCTGAAAAACAAGTGAGTAAACGGTGAGCTGAGATTATTTTATCACACTACAACATGACAGAATATTTAAGATATACCCACATTGACAGCCCTTGAAGGTCTGTAAGAAATTTCATGGCAATGCATCAGATTAACACAATTTAATATGGAACAAAAACTGATTCATCCTTTGGGGACCATGCAAAGCACCAAATTTCATGGAAATAGTTGAGACATTTCAGACCGGATTAAATGAAAAATGGCGGTATCTCCAAAGTTACGAGATGCACCCTCTAGGGACAATGAATGTTTAAATGAAATGTCTTGGCAATCCATCCAACTTTTTTTTTTTTCTCTTTCTTCTTTCAGGATATCCCATCAAGCTGGAGCCCAGATAACCTAAGACCATCCTAGATCCTCTCCTGTTCTGTACAAGGGAGTCAAACAACAGCAATCAGTCTCCATGCCGGCTCTCAGGATGGGGAGCTTTGAGAAACCTACTGTGTTTGGCCGGGGCTCCTTCCTTCAGCTCGCAGCCTGAGGAGGAGCAGGAAGCATTTTGGTGGAGGGGCAGGGGGTACGCCAAGGACCCAAGGTTGGTACCTTAACCACGACCTGCCAGACTCAGGCTCAGCACAGCAGGAGCATGTCAGCGCCCAGAGGCCCCTCATGGATGTGTCAGTCCGCAGCCAAGGGCAACCTTCTGCTGTGGATAGGGCTGACGTCCATCTGCGTGGCAACTGTTCATGCCCAGCAGCACCCAGTGGTCACCACCAATCATGGAAAATTGCGGGGAGTGAAGGTTACATTACCCAATGAGATCCTGGGACCAGTGGAGCAGTATTTGGGGATCCCATATGCATTAGCACCAACGGGCGAGCGGAGGTTCCAGCCTCCAGAGCCGCCCATGTCCTGGCCGGGCATCAGGAATGCTACTCAGTTTGCTCCGGTTTGTCCTCAGTTCTTAGAGGACCGCTTTTTACTCAATGACATGCTCCCTGTGTGGTTCACCGCCAACTTGGATACACTGGTAACCTATGTGCAGGAGCAGAGCGAGGACTGCCTTTACCTGAACATCTACGTCCCCACGGAGGACGGTAGGTCAACTGTCTTCTTTCTGTCTTCCTGTATGTCTTTTTGTTGTTCCCTCTTGCTTGTGCAGATCTACCCTGAACTTTGATACAGTAGCAACATAATTTTTTACTCATAAGAAATATTTTTATTACTCATACTTATATATACTGTTTTTGGTTATTTAACCCACTGGCGCTGTAGCAAAATCATGGTGTGTTCCTTTTAATATCATCATCGTTTGAAAGTGAAGTAGTTCTCACATCTACACTGGCCTGACCCCTACTTCACTGTGTTGCACTTAGTGGTAATTTTAAGCTTTGTAATTTCAATTGATATAATGTTAAGATCTTACATACAGTAAACTATAAAGCATCAAATTTAGTTTCCTCAAAATGAAAAATGCATATGAAGATATATAAAGAAAATTATAATATAATTTATAAGGTCTTAAACCTCATGTAACATTACTTCTAAAATTGTTTGTGTTTGTGACTGCGGCTGTCAGGAGATATTTTACACCTCTAATCTAAACGTGGGAATGTTGTGACAGAGGACTGTGCTGCTTTTGTGAGTTTTGGCGTTTAAGTCAGCACCATCAGGCTTGCAGCTAACACCGTCACTGCTGCTGCTACAGTGACGAGGAGGAAATTCATCGGCTCAGGATGGCAAATGGTGATTTTAGCAAAAAGCCTTTTTTTCAAACATGAACTAGATGAGTTCATAATTTCTAATGGCTTAATCCGTTTTCTGCCACTTATCTGGGTCCATGCTGCATCGTTTAATTGATTATATAGTTAGAAATTATTGTCATGTGATGTTGAGAAGTGTTATACGGTGTAATAATAAATACATTTAGGCTATAATATATTATGTAGGTTATTATCATAGAAGTATTTGGGATGAAAAGGGTCTGAAATTTAAGTTGGTGAAGATAGTGAATTTATCAAGCTAACATTAATAGCATCAACAGGATTGCATTAATAGCAAAAACACAAACCCATATAGTATAAAGATAATGTCGATGTGGTGTTTGATTATAAAGCAGGTTACAAAGCCTCAGTCCACAGAAAAAAATACACACACCCTGTATTCAGAAACTGAGCCTTAAAACCAGCCGTCAGGACTTCCTGAACTTTGTGATGTCACAACAAAGCAGTCACCAGCCCTGAGCCAAGCCCCGCCTACTTGGACCCACCATAAAAACCTCGCAAAATTTGGTTTCTCTGAGTGTTTACCTGAAATCTGCTCTATTTTTATTGGATCACTCAGAAAACAGTCAGAAAAGAGGCTCCTCTACTGTTTTAGGTTGTTCCCCCTGTCTATGCATTAAATATGCTGTAAGTTTGCCTACAAAGCTGTCAATCAAACATACATTTTAAAATCACTTTGACATGACATGAGTGTCGTGACCTCATGATGAACATGTTGCCTTCATGGATCCCTTGATTTTGCCAGCAATCTAAACAGTGAACAATGGTTTGGCCCAAAAACAAGAGCTTCTTTGTGCTCCAGCTGAACGGAGAGCTGTTAACCAAGAGTGATGTAAAATTAAAATAAAAAGTAGCTCACAGTGTATTGCTCTCAGGTTGAAGGCTCATCTATAATGGCTTGTTTTCTGCACTTCCCTTGTTGGAGTGAGCACTTGTGACTTGGAGTGGGTGTGACACTTGTATACACCGAGCACTTTTTTAGCCAGCAGCAGCAGCAGCAGCAGCAGTTGCCGTTTACGGGACTCGGAGTGTGTGTCGAACAACATAACCTGCAGTGGTTGGAGGTCAGGATGCTTTTAGGAGATGGTGCGGGACAGTGTGGGATAGTGAGGCACATTAATGTGTGTGTCTGGCTGAGATCTTTGACAGCTCCGTGCTAAATTTAGTTTGAGCTCTTGAGTACATGTTAGATTAAAAAGTGAAGGATAATCTCACAATCCTGTACCGGTGCACAGTCAGGGGCTTTTCTCAAATGATTCTGTATCTCCAAAAAAAAAAAAAAAAAAGAAGTTATTATACTCCACTGGAGTACATGTAATACAATTTGTTTCATGTGCATCTAGTAGTAGCCAGTAGTTGGGTTTTTCCATTCCGATTGACATACCTTTCCATTACAGCCTCACAGCAGAGGATAGTCACGCAAGAACTGCATGCTGCGGTCCCGCAGAGCAAAGCCACAGCCAAAACCCGTCACGCTCTCCTACCCTGTCCACGGACTAGAGAGACAACTCTTGCTCATAAAAGTCTCTGTGTGTTTATCTCTCAGTACGTTTGTCGCTTGTAGCTGAATCTGTGGTGCGGGGTAGAGTTTTACTCCTGGGTTCCTGTATGTAGGGGGAGAGTGGGGACGGCTGCAACAAGTCTTAAATCTCCGATTAGAAATATGCTGTATTTATGTCAAACTGACCTTTTGTGTAAGATAATACATTTGCCTGTTCTCGTTGTCATAAGCAATGAAATAGATACACTGTGCCCATTTTGACTGAAGGTACGTTCTATATTCTACAAAAAACAAAACTCAATAATTGTTCTTTGATAAATATCATCAAATAAATAAATAATACTATAATATAATTGTGAAACGATGAATATTTACAGTATATTATGCTTATTGAGACAAAAAGCAAAAGTTCAATAGTGTAATGTAATGAAATTTTTAATATGTTGCAACTGTCCCTGATCAGGGTTGGGGTCAGTTGCAGAACCTGAATACTTCCATTCAAATAAATATCGTGAATGATGTGTTATATGTAATCATATTTAAATGGCAAAGGTAATTAACAGACAGATGTGAGTTTAATATGTAGCAGTATGTACGATTTAATAATTCAGAATCTTTAAGCCTGAAATAAATTACAGCAGTGTTTTGATCTTGAACATACATAAGCAGTTTGACAAAAATATATAAATAAAAGTTCACTTTCAACGCCATGTTACAATCTTCAGATGTAGTTTGCTCACTTTAATCTTACGCCATTAGATTGAGTAAACTCAGCTGAGTAAATTCCACCCACTGATGAAAACCTCTGTAATAGTAGAGTCTAAACATAAAAGTGTCTGAGAATTAAATGGGCTGCAAACACAAAATCCTTTTTCTTTTTAATAAGGCAATAGCATGTGAAATGTCCCAATGTAATTTCACTTTCTGTTGCAAGGAGCATCACTTGAAAAGCATAGCCATGGATTCTTTAATAGTGGATTTATTTACCTCAATGACACACAGAAGCAGGCTTTTATTGGAGCAGGCTTATATTGGAGGCAAGGACTTTATTTCTAATTTCTAATTTCCCTGCTCCCTGATGCCAGCTCAACACGCAATAACAGGCTTTTAATTTGAAAAATGAGTGGATGGGTCTAATTGCTGGTGTGGTGTGGTAGGGACTGGCAGTCTGTGGTATTATTTGATGGCAGCTCTTTAAGCTATAATTGTGGTATTTCTTGTATTTGTTATACATACTGTATATATATATATATATATATAGATGTGTGTGTGTGTGTGTGTGTGAGAGATAATATAATATCCCCTTATAGGTGACATACAATATATGGCAACTTCACTCTTGATATAGGGTATAGGTAATGATGATACTTCACTGTCAACTGGTAAATTACTTGATAGTGCACAGCCAATCACATCACAGAATCATTGAGGGCAAAAATGTATCAAGGTCCCTGTCAAGATTCAAACCTTTCCCATGTTGTGAAATTCTTTGAGATATAGTATGTTTATATAAGGGTTGCAACTAATGATTATTTTCATTATCAATTAATCTGCCCATTATTTTTTGATCAATTGATCAATAGATCAATAGGTCACAAAATAGTGAAAAATGTCCATCACAATTTTTTCAGAGCCCTACTTAACATATTCAAATATCTTGGTTTGTTTAACAGTCCCAGAGCCAGTCAGAGTATAGGATCTGAGCCTTTCTTCTGATTGGCTGACTGTTTTCTGAGTTGATCCAATAAAAATATAGCAGATTTAAGGTAAACACTCAGAGAAACTGAATCCTGCGAGGTTGGCTGGTGGGTCCGGGTGGGTGAGGCTGAAAACAGTGACTGCTTTGTTGTGACATCACAAAGTTCCAGAAGTCCTGACGGCTGGTTTTAAAGCTCAGTTTCTGAATAAAGGCTGTATTTCTCTTTGATACTTTCACAGTATTAATATAGAACCTAGACCTTTTTTATAATCACACAACACATGGACATCTACCTTTAACACTATATGGAGCTTTCATGACTTTATTATTTGGACTAAGTGTTGTTCGGCATCAGAACTTTCTAAATCGATGACATATGCTCATTGAAATATTCAATGTGTTGCTGTTGTGTCCTTAATGGCAACGATCCTGCAACTTCCAAAATAGGCTGCTGTTCCGCACAACCACTATGACTTCATCCATTTATCCAACAGGCTTTTTGAAAGGTTTTCAGCCATTGTGAAACATGATGCACTACATTAGTCCAGGCAGCGCTACGTCTCTAAGCTATTTTAATGGATTTTTGAAAGCAATGGGAGCCTTTGTGTTTGGAGGTAAGGTGAACCTGTCGGAAAATACACCAGGCTGCACATTAAAACCACCTAAAGTGGAGTTACGAGATTTGTGCCTACACAAAAAAAAAGAATATGTGAGGCTTGCTCAACATCCCTTGCTTGTTAAATGGACCAAACAGCACTTTGTAGATGTAGATAATGTACTGCAGTCATCCCATTATTACCTGTTATTGCAAATAGAGAAACACAATGTGTAAGGAGCGAAGGATAAAAGAGTCATAATGATATCTGAGCTCTGTGGGGAGTGATGTGTCTATCCCAGTTAGAGCTCCCCTAGCTGCCCATCATCTTTATATCCCCCAAGTTGGCCTTTTCAGAAATCTGGTGTAATGTCAAAATATCCTGCCAGCAGAGGATCAGGGACAGATTTATAGTTTTGCTGCACCTCGAGTGGGTTGACAGATTATGCGACTGCCTATTCTCTCTCATCTGATTTGAAGTTGAAAGAGGAAATCCACTACGGCGCGCTCAGATGACT